AGCAAACATTTATCAATTTTATAATAATTAATTGTTATAATAATAATAAATTATTGCCAATATACCTATATTCAATTTTTCCATCCAAAGGTCCAACGCTGTAAATCCCGTCTTTTTGTGTAACTAAAGTATGAATTGGAGACTCGTCATTTTTCCCAGTTATTCGTATAGTTACACCTTCCAACGGTGGAGAAATCTGTCCGGCTATAATCTAAATAATATTCTCGTTTGAGCTGTGAATTCTATATATTTAATATAGTAATAGTTATCTACCTTTCCCAAATCACCGGCAAAACTTGCAATGTCATTATGACAATCATTTACGCCGAAAACTTTCAGAGACGGTGGATTGAAGAGCAGAATGTCTGATAACGGAGTGATAGTATACATATTATCTGTTTTCGCCTTAAACTCAAATTCATACTTGTATACGCCATCTTTTTTTACATATTTCAGTGGACCAATCCTATCCAAAAATATATTAATAAACAAAGATGTATATATACATTTTATATATCTCAAAAGAAATTAATAAAAATATTATTCGAATACAAATGTAAAAAAAATATATGCAAAATTTTTCTTAAAACGTACAATGCAACTTACGTGACACTGTCATTTGCGTCTTCAATTTTTACTTTAAGATCGTTTTGCATGCTTAAACTTATAATACTGCCTTTATGAGTGTGTTCAGTGGAATGCAGTAAGATCGGGGATAAATTGCTCGTATCCCAAGTGTAGGAAGAATTTTCATATATATGACAACCTTTCGGAATAAAAGTGTATGTTCCAGATTTAGGTACACAATGCCTCATGCTTCCTTTATTTAGAGGTAGAGTTATTAGTTTCGTGTTATTAGGTTCGAAATATTCCACGATTGTATCGTGAGACGATATGAAGGTGATGGAGAAGCCGGTTTGCTTGAACGGTGGTACTTCGGCACGTTCTGACGTTATCGAGATTCTATAACTGGGATTTTCCCAGCAAAACACATCGTTATCGATGAAAATCTCGTAATGGCCAGGTAGAACGTCCGTAAACTGATACTGGCCATCTAAATAATGGAAAACGACTTCACAGACAGAGGAGATAGTATCGTATCGAATTAAACAGACATTACTGCAATAACAAATAAGTACGAAGTATTTTACATTGGTTGCTTGAAATCAAATTAATTTTCAAACTTTTTGCAAATACAAGATTTAGAAAATCGGAGAATCCTTTTTATTTTAGACCATATTTGTTATTGCAGTTCAAATTATACTAAACCATCAAAAACATTTTATAATAACGTTGAGTAGTGTTTATGTCAGCACACCTTTAGCTTGTACTGTCTTTATCGTGACTCCATCGAGTATTTTCAAAGTAACTGAAGCCTGGCTGCAATCTGTCCCTGGCAAACAATGCACTGTTCCCGTTAACGTGGCTTTTAATTGTAAGAAGTTGACATTAGTGATTGGTTGAGACGTCACATCAATTGTTTGTTGCAGTGGATAGAATCTAGAAATATATAATAAAGTTTTTATAATTTATAATTACACTATACATATATATAATTTTATAAAACTACATCTACTCTGATTTATTTTTACATTCATTACTTACTGTAAACCTTTAGTTTTCTCTTCCGTGCTCACAATTACACTCAATTGATATTTATCCGGTGCAAGATATACAGAATACTCTCCTGTTTTCTCATTGGTGTCAAGCTCCTTATAGAACGTAGCGGCTGTATTCTGAATGGATATTCGGCGAAAATGCAATGTTCCCTTGGCTGACAAAGTTACTTTTCCTGAAACTTTGTATGCCGAAGGTACCAGCACAGGAAGTTCAGGCGAAGTGGGAGATATTTTGACTGTCCTCTCGCTGAATTGTACATTTTCTGGAATAAATAGTTGTACAAATTTCAAAAAAGTTAGTGAACGATTTAATTTAAAAGAAATCTTGTAAAATTTCTCATACCAGATTCCGCTTTAAGTGTATATTGGCCGGCTTTCATGTTATCTAGTACATATTTTCCATTCTTATCTGTGACTGCAACTTCTTTATGTGACAAGAATATCTTTGCTCCTTGCAACGGATTTCCATTCGTGGCGCTACGTACTAAACCGCCGACCGTAAAGCCGGTTACTTTAAAGTCTGGAGTAAGAACTACGCTGTTGTGACTAACTTTGAAAGACAATTCCGGTGGCTGAACGTCGAATTTTGTCTGGGCACCGGCATAGTGAGGTATAAGCTTATAATCGCCAGGCGATAGACTGGGGAATATAAATCTACCGGTATTGTCCGAAGTCACGTGGCAAAGTGGTTTCTTGGATTCAAAGTTTTTATTCACAGGAGTGGTCTCACACTTCTTGGCGATACCATTCTGTAAGATATACAAAATTATTCATTCTATGAAAATTTTTGTTAAAGAATACTTTAGAATTTTGAAAAATATTAATAATACTTTGATTGCCATGGATTTTTGTAATAGGTCGTCTGGTGCCACACTACTATATAATACTACTTCAGTATAATATAACTTCATATGACTTAAATTTTTTTCATATTAAAATATTTTTATAAAATAAAAGTCTTCAGTAAAGTTGATAGACTTCTCTAGAAAATTTACAATATATATTATATAAAATCAATGCAAAATATTTTTGGTTCATGATGGTAATGGATTCAATAAAAGCAAATATATTGCAATAAAAAAATAATAAAATTCAATAATAAAATTGAAATACAGCGACGCCCTCACGTAAATGTGTAACTGGATACGCATGACAATCAAAGTATTAAAGTATGGTAATACGAAAATAATAAAATAAACCTTACACCGAAAAGAATGAAGGATACACCAGCCACTGGCTCATTTTCACTAGTAACTTTGCCACTAACATCATATCCTGATACTACCAAACTCCCGTCTGCGAGTTCTGTGTTTCCTTCTTGTACAGTTACTTCAATTTTATTTTCTTTTATTAGCCATCTAAAAAAGATAATTAATATCGATTTTTGTCATTTTGTATCTTTTGTATCATAAAATAAATTCATCAGATATCAGACTGTATACTTACTTGGAATGATGCACAATGAGAATGTATTTTCCAGGCTGAATGGGAGTAAAGTAAAATATGCCACCCTCTGCTGTTAACATCGATTTAATAGGATTTTGTTTATTGCTGTCTGTGTATAAAGAGATAGTAATTCCTTTAGGACCGGAGTCAGTACCTAAACTAATCACCTGAAAATAATTCATATTAATTAAATAACGCACATTGAAAACATACATTAAAAATTCTATTGTTAAAAATTATTAGAATTGAATCATAATGATCTTCAAATAAATATTTTCATATATAATACTCATAACAAGAGAAAATTTATTACTCACACGACCTGTAATACCAAATCCTTTGAACGTAAAATTAATATCTTTTCCCTGACTGCAGTCATCCGTAACACCATCTACGTTTAATATTACCTCTGTAGGTTCAAAACTCCAACCTCTGGGAGGTTCTACCTGATATATTAAATATTAATTTTACAACATTTTATAAACTTTTTAACAATGCTAATTAGCAGAAGTTAATAATTTTACAAATTTTATAAATTAATAAAATATGACAATTTTATTCCTTTCAAAACAAGAGAAAAGATTTCTTTTAAAGGAAAAATACTTACATTTATATTATGCGTAATAAACAAATTTTTTTAAATATAAATAAATAAATTTTATAAATCTTTTTCAGTATTTTATTACGTTATAATATACTGTAAATAAAATACAATATTTTATGAATTTGTTGACGAGATGCTAATTAATAGAAGCTACTAATTTTACAAATGTTGTATATAATATATTAATAAACAATCTTATTATTCAATCTTAATAAACAGTCCCATTCAAAACAAATAAATAAATTTACACTTTTATATTAACACATAATAAACAAATTTCATAAAATTTCTTGTATATCGAGTGTCATTTATTATTTAATTACTGGCAATGATGGTGCATCTTTTCAGCTCACCTTTAAAACATATTCGCCTTTATCGTACAGAGGTAGAAAATAGTAACCAGTGTTAGGCGCGCCTTCGGTTTGATCCTTTAGACTACCAGTCTTCGTGTACCTGATAAATTTATCTCATAAAATTCTGACATTCAGTTAGTATTTATTAGGATGTAGCTGATGTAGCAATCAGATAACCTTTCATCCAGTTAAATACTTACAGTTTCACGTGCACCTTCCTGAAATCGATGTCGGTATGACTTTTCAGGAAACCGCCGCATCCCAGGATATCTTGGGTGATAGAGCCGGCGATGAGACTCGCCAGGCAAGCAAAGAAAACAAGACATCGTTCAGTCAAATCCATATCACTCGTCACCGTTCGGTCCGCCGTCTGCTAAGTTGTGCTAAAGCTGCCATTAAGCTGCATTTTCATGCAGACGCTCGATGCTTATTTCCAGCGTCATATGATTTCCAGGTCACGTGATCAAAATTGATGCTTGGTATTCAATTGATCAATTTTGATCACGTGACCTGTTTGATGCTGAAAATAAGTGTCGAGCGTCTACATGAAAAAGCAGTCTTAACCGAGGTTCAACTTATTCATGTCTCTTTCCAATTCTTGAATTAGAAAGAAATAAGAAACAAGTTGAAGAATTTCAACTTATCAAAAATCAGTGCATTGTGAAATACACAATATGATAGATTGAAACTCTTATTTTCTGTTCCCTGTTCCTTTTATTGTGCGAAGCCCCTAAATTGTGTTGTAACAAGACTTATTACAAGCGCCGACAGATTGATTGTTCGTCTTTGTCTATCTAACGCACCGAAATTTGTGGATATAACGAAGAATACAAAAAATCGTGGACATTACCGATCAGATCATGGACATTGGCTATGTAGTTTAATGTTCACATTTTGTGGACATAGAGGCGCTTCAAAATAAAGTAACAGCTAAATCGGGTATGGCTGCTCTCTGGCTTCTCTCTGGTTATACTGTGTTTTTACTAGAGATTACATGAACAATCAATGTTGAATGAGTACTTAGAATTAAGTTTAAACTTAATACGAAAGATTAGGAAATTTGTACGTATGTGTGAATGCGATATTGATGTAGTAATATATAAAGATGTGTTGCATTTTATCGGTAAAACAGCGATCTCATCGGAGTACGGACTTCACTCTACTGTCAGTAGATCGGAGCATTCGGAGTTTCGGAGCATAATGGAATAAATCCATCATGGCGCCGCCGGTGAAATCACGGTGCGCGTGCGCGTGCAAATTCCTCCGGTAAATATCGGCTTTTCAGAAATTCAGTCATTCAGTCTGGAGTTTCTGTCCGTATCGACCTGCTGTTCAATTTCTAGAGGCGAGAATCGTTAAGTAAAGAAGTCTCGAGTTTCGGACCGGCTCGTCTCCCGATTCTGTGCGAGTGGAACGGAGTGTGTGGATACGTATTTATTTCCGAAAGGTAATGTTGAATTTCTTTTCTGATTATTCAATACAGGTTCGCTGTAATTTTAATATCATTTTAAAATGCATTTCAATTAAGGAGACAATAATGATTACTGGGAATTTCATTTAAAACTGATCGGTTTGTTTACCTGTAGCTGTCTGCTGTGAATCCGCTAATCGAATATTCGCAAGTGATAAGTTCGCCATTTGCAAATACAATAACGCGCAATATCGCATAAGAATTTTTTTGTAAACTTGTACGAGCTGACAGTTATTTAATCTCACCAAAGAAGTGTCTCGTAAGTAAGGGGATCAACTTGAAGGTTCATTCTTTAATAAACCTGTTTTATAGACCGGTTCTTTTTACTGTAAGGCCGTTACTTTTGACAATTTCAAAGATTTGAAGCTTTGCAAGAATTTTTGAATTTTTAACTAACAACAAGATAAATATCCCAGTGACTAAACATATTGTATTAAAAAATTATTTTAAAAAGCGTTTAAGATTAGTAATCAATATCATATAAATAAATAAAATTTTGTGTAAATATCCAGACACATATCTATTAGTAATCATATAAACAAATAAAATTTTGTGTAAATATCCAGACATAGATATCTCAAACGCTTTTTAAAATAATTTTTTAATACAATTAAATTATAATATTGTAAGAGAAGAACTATTATGTTACAGTTATGTTGTTAGACAAGAAATTATATTAATAGTTATGTTACTGTCAGATAGTGCTTACTAAGTTATATTGCATATGAAAATGTATAATAATGTACACTATAGAATATTCATATGCAATATTTTTTAAGAATTAGAATCTTAGAAGCCCTTAATACAAACATTTGCTTTTTGCATATGCGTTTAGCTGCTATTAATTGATGGACTATTTTCTACAGAAAGGATACTGATATTTCACAGTTGAAAATGGTGAAAGTAGCGCTATGGATTACATGCAGACTCGACAACATCGAAGAACTAAAGCCGTCAGGACCCGAGTTCAGATGGTGCCTCAAGTTCATTTGTTGTAACTGCAGCAATAAATCAGAGAAGTGGAACTATGTCTCCCTAGACGAGTCGGTGCCATTGCAACGGGGGGGCAGCGGGGTGTCCAATTTTGTATTCAAATGCAAATTCTGCCAACGAGAAAACTCTGTGACGATAATCGAGGATTCAATTAAGTCCTTCACTGAGAATGACCAGGGAAAGTTTAAGAGTATCGTTGTATTTGACTGCCGAGGTGTGGAACCAGATAACTTCTCTGCGGGGGAAGGATGGATAGCCAAGGCTGTGAATGGTGGCAAGGAATTCACCGATGTGGATTTGAGTGAGGGCGAATGGGAGGATTATTGCGACAAGATTATGGAACCTGTTGGAATATACGAGTTTCAGCATATGTTCCAGAGGGTCAAGTGAAATCGTGTTTGGAAGATATATCTACCTGCTGCGCATTTTAATCATCAAAATTTTATAACAGATAACGGATTTTCCTGCTAGTTAATGAAAAAGCGACACGTGTCTGTTACGTGTAAATATGTAAAGATATGCATTACAATCTTTCATGCCTCTTTCACTTCTTGTGCACAGATTGTTAATATATAAAATGATATAAAACTATACAGGATTGTTAGATTTCTCATCAAAAGGATAATTTAACTCAGATTCCATTCATCATATAATAGTTAATAATAATTTTGTTAGACCTCATAAAAAAATATCTTACTTAGACTTAAAGTTTAAGAGAATATTGTTACACACACGTACGTACGACAAATGTCATGAATATGTTTGTGTAAAGAAGCACAACTTGCTATATGATAAGAATTATTGCTTTGTAATAAACGTATAGTCATTTTGTAATTTGGAATATCTCTTCTTTGTATAGAAATGTACGTCCTTTGGAGATGGAGTAATATTTTCGCACGCACAGAAATGTTTTCGAGATCCTCTCTCGTCAAGGCAAAGAGTAAAAGCAATACCAATCCAACGACATAATATAATTTATTCATAATCATATAAAAAACCATTTTATTTCATAAATGGCTTAGTACACAAGAGATGTCGTTTGCAACAATAATTCCACTTTGCCTCCTAGCACATTCGGAGTTGCCGATCCATACCCTGCGTGAATAATCGAGTGACTAGTGTCGTTTTGCGGCAAGGGCGATGCTCGGAAAAGCCATGCGGCTTACCGATTCGCGAATCGATCCGGACAACTTGCCTCTCCTCCGTCACCGTGACGCAAACTGCATTCTTGGAATGTCGATGCGATCGCATAAAAATCATCGAACTTATGACAACGACGCACTAATCTCGCCTTACGATTATAAAAAATTAAAATATTCCTTGATTAAAAAATTATGTTATATACAGTGTCTTCATTTTTTTTCACGTATAAAACTCTCGAACAACTTTCCACTTAACGATACTCGGCGTATCGCGCAAAGACTTTCGCTTACGATCGGAGTAACTCTCGCAGTTCTGTCTCCACAATAAGCTACGAAAAAATCACGATGAATCACGATCAAAAAGAAATCATAGAGACAATATTTATGACAATAAATCAACAAATTCGAAAGAAACGAAGAGAGGAAGAAACAAATGTGTAACTTCGTTTACTTGACGATTGCCTAATGCACTAATGCTACGCTATATTTGTCTAATGCTTCCGTTTACTATGCTTCCTAATATCTAACACAAATAAATATATCGCGTGCGCATTACAATCCACCGTTCCCGGAGAATCTTTAACGTATTGAATCACATGTAAGTAACCGCTAAAAATTTTTAATTTAACAATCGATAACGCTATCAGTCTATTCTCACAAAAATATCACTATGACCGAACATACCGTGTCGACGATACAACCAGAGTCTAAAATTGTGAAATCGACTGAAAAATTCAATAAATAAAATAAATAACACAAACTTTCAAAATCTTCAAAATAAATATACTCTTTAAAAAATAAAGATATTAACTACGTGTCTTTTTAAATCGCTTAAAAATGTAACTTAGAAAATCATATAAATTTGTTACTGGAATGAAATACACTTGACTCTGGCTCACATGGAAGATTTGTAATTCGCTTGACGTAACTCGAACAATTATCCTACTAGCAAATTGAGGTTTCTAAAAACGTTTTAACCATGATCCTCTAATATTACGAATATGCATCGCTGTGCGCTTTTTGATCGGTTAAACGGTTCTAGTCTACTATCTAGCTAAGCTATCGTCTTTGGTATACTAATCTGGGGGATGCTTACTTTATCCAGAGAAACAGAGGTGAATGTTCATGGGGAAAGATCTCGTTTCCGGGGATACGAATATCGCATGGAAATAGGAACATTACGAGTAATATGTAAGCTAGCTGATTATGGCGTTCCAATTATGTCTCACGGCGAGGAATGATTATCAGCAGTCCTCTGTGTGAAAAATAAGTGGCGCTTGCAGATAAAGAATCGGACGCGAACGCGAGAAGCAAAATTATAGCTTTCTTCTTGGAAATGGAAAGCTCTATTTTGCAACTGCCTCTTGCATCGCGTCCAATTCACTTTGCAGTGGAAAAGGTGCACATGCCATAAACATCATATTCTGCAACAGATCAAGTTGGAGGAATCGAGACTATTGGGGAAGGAAAAAGTCGTGATTTATATCTTCATCTGGTGTTAACTTTTTCTCTCTATTATAATCTGGATTATTATATCCCTTTTTCCACGTACAGCCTGTCTCTATTTGCTTAGTTTATGTAACTGTTTGGGCCTCATTTTTTTATTTTCGCGAAGTGCTTATAAAAATTAATTATATCCATAAAAGTGATTAGATATATATCTTGCTTAAGGAGCTTATATGTAAGAGGTTTTATTTGTCTCGGTGAGGCTCAAACGGTCAATAAAAATATTTTTTTTACCATCTCTCAGTCATCAAAGATCATCGGTCATCAAAAATTTTTCAAATATGAACTGGCAACGATTCTTTTTCCTAATAAGATGAAGTATCTTGCTCGAAATAATAAGAGGTATCATCATGATTCTCTTTTTTAGTTTTTTTTTTTTGAGATTTTCTGTAGCCGCCGTACTGGCGTCACGAAAAGTGGGAATATTCGTAGAACATTCGAATATTCACATCGAGAATACTTGGAATTCGTACGAAGCTAATGATTACTGATCATTTTTTAAATCAAAATTGTTCTGTTTTACTTCAATATCTTTAAGAAATTTTACGGTATCGTATATAGTAGCATTGATAGCGTGATTACAACTGTGTCAATCAATATTATCCTTCCCCAATCCATCTCGATCAATACTGGGCCATATTCCTTGGGCACACATCATTTAATGTCTTTCTAATGTCTAAATCGATTATATACGTTTAGAATCGCCTATCTGCTAGTGTATTCGGCTAAATTCGTGATTTTCTAAATCCGTTGGATATATGCTAAATATCTATGCTTTTTGATACTGTTATACTTATTCGCATGACTTACTTTTGACATTTTTTTCTAGGACTTTTCGCTATGTTTCCTTCTAAAGCATCTCAAAGATAGACACCCGTGAATAGGCCCGTTAGATGTTGAATAGTCTAATTGTAAACACAGTCCTAGAACGCTAACGGGGACTCTGTCAAGGGCCTAGTACATTTCAACCTAGTGCGTATTATCTCTTTCTCCTTGTTTTCTATTGCAAATTCCGTATATAACATACTAATGATCGATAATATTATACTTTGCACTATGTATATTTGAAAAAATGTTAAATATAGTAATATTTAATATAGTAATAGTGATTAATAATATTAATTATTCTATTATAATTATTTGATAATGATATATCGATTATTAATAATTCCACGTTAGCGTTTTAGGATTAATCTATTGTAATTCGACAATCTGCAAGAATTTCTCGTCTGCCGTCATTTCAGAAAGAAATTTCAGAGCGAGCATCGCGATGATAGATCGAACGATGAGATATGAGATTCTAGCTAATAAAAAAGCTAATCTATAGTAATAAATGAAAGTTGGCCTACTCGCGCGAAATTGTAAACTAAAAACGATGGAAAAAAAGGTTCGTGAGAAATGTTAATTATTGCGCGAAACGAACAATAGAGCGGAACAATGCCCAGCGAGGATACGCGACACACTCAATTTCAACTCTCTCTCCCTTTCTCTCCCACTCTCGCTTTCTTTCTCTCATATCACGCAGATGGACAGAAAAATAGAGATTTGACGTGCGTGTTCGCACTCAGCCGACCCTGATATCGTCGAGCCCGAGGAGGATCGCGTCATTGTAATTCGGTATTCGGTGCGCATGGAATAAACGCTGCGCTTAATCAATACTTCTCGCAGCGCGCGGCGGCTCGACCAATCGCGGATTCGCCGAGAACAGGACTGGTAACTTCGATCTTGTCCGTCCGACGAGCCTGTTCCCCTCGCGAAGAACAGAGCGATGTCGTAGACGCCGTTAATCGTGATCGTGCGGCACAATAGACCGGAAACGAGTCAGCCGGTCGGATTCAAGGCAGCTCGTCGGTCAACAGGCTTGTCGGTTCCAAGCAAGTTTGCTTCAGAGTGGCCGACTGATCTTCAAGGCTACGCTTCAAGCCCTCGATTGTCTGCATCAGCATCTGTCGTCGTAGCTGGGATAGCTGGTGCTGAAAGAACTGCGAATCCTGAATGTTGTTCGCGTTTGCCTCAGCGGCTAATCGCTCCTGCCGCAATTGCGCTACCTTCTCCTTCAGAGATCTCCTCGAGTCATCTGTGTATACAAAATAATATTAATAGATGAATAGCGAATGCAAGATTCAATTAAATCAGTGCAATCAAGACGCTCTATTAAAATTAAAATGAAACAGTCAACGCGATTTTAAAATTAAATTTAAAAAAATTTATATACGCAGAATATTAAATATTAAATATTTTACTAAATCATATAATTAATCATTAAGAGATGCAAATTATATGTATTAAAATATATCTTATATTTGTGTCATTAAGTTTGATACAGCTGGTATTGTCAAAGAAAGAAATTATTTGCGTTTTATTGTATAAAAAAGGTAGATATAAAAGAAACACACCAGTATCATCGGTTGCTGTATCACCGTCAGAATTTCTTAGCATAACATGTTCGCCCAATGTCTTTTGTATTCTGCCATATGTCGCGCTTCCGGCATATACTTTTCTTTTCACTGGCTCGCTTTGCGGGCAGTAGGAAGAACCTTCCTTGATGGGACCCATATCGATTGATCTAAAGATGTTTTTCTGTTATAAATGTTCAATGACTGCACATTCAGTATCGACATTAGATTGGTATTATTATAATATTATAATTATCATTAATATCGAATGTAAACTTCCTGTACATTAATTTTAAGTCGGTTCTCCTGATAAATATTATAATACTACAAATATAAATAATTAATAATATACATAACAAAGACAAAAGTTACTTTCTTAAATCAATTTCTGAAAGCATAACAAAACATTTTTAATGTAAAGAGATTAATATTTCTAATTTTGCATTAAATTGCGATCTAGAAATTATGCAAGATTTTTTTCTTAAATAGTTAATTAAGTAGTTATCACAACCTGAACGTCATCAATGGAGCCCTCCGTCTCACGTCGCACTTTTCCTCAGAATCAGACGAACTGGACGTCACTCCTTCCTCCTTTGTTGTTTCTCTTGCGGAGCGAAATTCCTTTCTATCTCCGCCGAGAGAGCCTTGCATCATCTCGTTCCGGTGTATCTTCTCCCCAAGAGAATTGTTCGCATTCATGGTTTCCGGTTTCATCCCGCCGTTACAATTCAAAGCGATCCGAGATGATCTGTTGCCATCCTTGTTTTCTGGCTCACCGTTACGCGCCCGATACATCTGTTGGTTGATCAAACTCCTGCTGGGCGAACTCTGGGGTGTCGTTCTGCGCGTCATCGCCGGCGAGTCCGGGCACTTGGACAGCTCGTGCTGCCGAAAAACAGGCGGAGGCTCTTTCAGCGCGAAATTGACTGGCGAATTCCTTTCCATAAATCGATGAATTGGAGAACACGGCTGAGCGAACTGCCGTTTGGGACTGGTATGTTCTAGATCACGAATACTACCGCTCTGTAATTCCGGCTGGGAATTACGGCTCTTGGACAGCGCCAGTTCAATATTCAGCTCCGTGTTCTTGATGAGTTCGACGCGTTTGTTCGCCAGACCGTTGTGCAGTTTACGCGACGGCGATGGCACACACGGCGAAGGACTCTGGTACTTCTGCATGCTCACCAGAATATTCTCCGCCTCCAGGATAAGCTCGCGATATTTGCGATCGGCCTCCTTGTCTGCCTCAATCAGCGCAATCTCCGACGCGAATGTGGTCATGTACGTGTTGCCGGTTACG